ATAGTGAATAAGCATCCATTTCACTCATGTAACGCAATCCTCACATTCAAAATCGCATTGCGAATTCGGCGATGGACACAACCACACAACCACACAACCTAAAGCAATCTGCCAAGAGCGTGACGTTTTGAATTCGAATATATCTATAAATATAAATCGATAGGTATTTTCCGAAAACGACAAAGGAGTTTCCGAGAATTCTATCGCGGTCCGGAATTGGCTATGATGTACTCGAATATTTTTATTTTTATCGCATGGAGCTCTGGAATGTGGAGTGGCTCGTGGGTGACTGATAAGAGCTCCCGGTGGAGAATTTCCCCAGAATTGAAGATCAAGGCTTAAGGTTATCGGGACTTCAACGAAAGAAGAAGGAAAGAAAGAAAGAAAGAATCCGGTATTTGTTTATAGCAATCGAAACGATTGAGAATATATAAATGGTATCTATCAATCGTGTTGATAACTGATAATAAAGCACCAGAAGTATATCTGCGAAAGCGACAGTGATGATCGAGATGAAGTGAAAACGACAGTAGAGTGTAGAAGTTGAAGAAGAGGAAGAGGAGGAGGAGGAGGAGGAAGATGAAGATGAAGAAGATGAAGAAATAAAAAGAAACCAAGATAACGAAACGAGACGAGACGAAACGAAACGAAACGAATGAAAAGCACCTCATAGTAAAATACCTAGCTAGTCCTCATCTCGTACCTACTAGAGTCCTCGTACCTACACTCACCAGTGCAAGTAACTGCAAGTGCCAAAGGATAAATTCCAACTCAATGCACATATACATACCTCGTACATATATACCTACCTAGTAGTACCTGCCGCTATCGACCAACCCGTCACCACCCACCAATTAAATATCGCCATCCACCAATCCCGTCGATATCAGTATCTATCCATGGATATATTAATTAGATATTCAATCACTCATTTGATCAGTTATCCATCCATCTATTCATCATACATATATACATATATACATACATACATATATACACTCATCACTCATCACTCTCCATCCATCCATCCATCAAAAGCTAGCTAAAAACTAAAAGAAAGCTCCACAATCTATATCTCGTACCCGCCCCATCCCAACGCCACTAACGAACGTTATATTCATCTGCCCACCTGGCCTGGGCATCTACTGATCCACCCTCCCTCCTTCCATCCAATTCGCCCAAACACTTCACAGTAGGTATGTGGAGTAACGAAGATGCACACAAGACAAGCAAGTAGCTCGGTAGGCTCGTAGGTAAACAAAACAAGGAAAGCCTGCCTACATATCTCGATCTTGATTCTCGACCAATTATTATAGGTATATACAATACATATCGTACATTACTTACAATACAATATCGTACATACAATACAGATAGTAAACATAGTAAGAATATATACACTACAATAAATCCCGCTATCGATTTCGATACACATGATATACATGATACAATACATATACATACATACATATATATATACATACACAAGCTCCACATATACATTTCATTTCAATCTTGGAAATTTTCATACATTCACATCATACCTAATAGATAATTTTAATTTCCTGACATAAGTACCGTATACTTATACATAATCGAAGAAAATAATATAATACTACCTAGTACATACTACCTAGGTACATAAACATAAACATAAACATAAACATACTACAAACAGAGCTCATCACCATCACCATCACCATCACCAACACCATCACCATCACCATCACCACCACCATCACCATCACGAAAGATACCTACCTACTCATCCACATACCAATGACTTCCAAGATTATTCCTGCTTACTTATTACTTATTACTTATTAGCGAATATAAACTTCAACTTCAACTTCAACTTTAACTTCAACTTTAGCCTTCAACTTTAGCATGTATTTATTTTACTTTCATTTTACTTTTACTTTTACTTTATCATTTTCCTCTCTCTCTCTCTCTCTCTCTCTCTGCCCTCTAGCTCGCTCACACAGACATCCTACCTAGGTACATATACATATACACATGCTTATCTTATCGTATCGTATGGCTGGCTCGAGGCTGGCTACCTATTCTCCACACACCTGAGAATACTTAACTTAATCCATTCATATGCATACTACGTAGGTATCCTCATATTTCCCTAACCGCTTCATGAATATCATCGCATCTACGGTATGCGTCTATGCGTTCATTCGTCCATTCATCCATTTATCCATTCATCCATTCCAGATGTCCAGATTTGCATAGGTAGGTAGGTACTTCATGATCCGCAATCCGTAATCCCTCCTTCGCTCACTCACTCGCTCGCCTATCAATACTTCATATAGTATACATGTAGTACATACACACACCTGATATCATCCTCTTCTCTTCTTCATTCCGAAACTGCTGTGTCCATCAATCCATCAATCAATCAATCAATCAATCAATCATCAATTGTGTTCCCACAACCCTTCCGCTTTCTCCAAATTCATCACTTCTCGTGTCTTGAATTCCAGACCTCTCATTCATTCATTCCCTTTCCTTTCATTCACTTCCATTTTCGAGTAATATCGATATAGAACGAGTAAAATCAATCCCCTGTTCTCGAGCAATTTATTCGTCAACTTTTTGCTTTCCTTCTTTCCCTCAAATTCCCTCAAGACCAAAAGCCAATTCATAATTATCATGCCCAGCCATTGAATTTCGAGTTCCGTAAATTCGGCGACAAATCGTTAACCTCTCTTCGGAAGATGCAAATCCGCTCAGTTAAGTCTGACAAACAACGGGGTTGATTTCCTCGTGTAACATCCTTACATATATGGGTCTTATAAACAGCCAACTATTTAATAATCTCTAGCTAGCTCTTCTCATGTCAAGTATAGTAGCTCAAGGACCATGTCGAGGATCTTTGTGCGACAATGAGTTTTGTTGACGAACGACTTCTTGTTCATCATCTTCATTATCCCATCCCAGAACCGACTTCAACGAATTCAATTCTTTTTGTAGTTGTTGGAGTCCTCCTGCCACTCCGCTCAGGACAGTAAATAGTTGTTTTTGCGTACTCTTCGGGGTGTCGTCGATGAGAGATCGTTCTTTCATCATAGAACCGTCGGCTGGGATAGGATATTGCACAATTTGATTGTTGGGAAAATTGTGCATCGGCAACGGCTGGGCAAATTGATTATTTTGAAGAGGTGGACCTCCCTGTTGTATGACTTGTTTAATCGCAGGAGTTTCGTAGAATCGTGGTCGATGCAATACAATTGGAGCTGCGCGTGACTGTTGCCCATTTGCGCCTGGTTCCCCTTCATCCATATTTCCTTGATCGAGTTCTTCGCGGGCAATTTGAGCTTGTAACATGGAATCCAATTCTGCTTCTTGAGCTTCCTTCAATCCGGGGGTTCTTAATGGTGGTCGTGGTATAGACGGAAGAGGTGGGTATGGACTGACATAATGACCTGGTGAATTGAATTTACTGAATATGCTATTCTCCTCTTCAAATGATGGGTTTTCGAATTCGGATCGCTTTCGCTTGGTGGGGGGTTCAACTTTTTCCGTATATCTTAAAGCTCTGGCATCTTGATCCCCTACAATTGTGAAATCCAAGAGTCAGTAATAGTATTTTCACCATACGAGATCATAAAACAGAAGATGTAGATACCCAGATTTTTTATTCTCAAACTGCATTTATTCCCTTTACTCGTGAAAATACAAGTCGCGCAAGCTCCTTGAAACCATTCTTCCAGCACAATACAGTGAGAGAATCGTCCAAAGCCCTGTTTACAATGCGCACATGGGTTTGCCATTATTCTTCCTCTGGTGGCTACCATACATGCACCTCTCTGCTGAACACGTTGACTCTCGGTCGATCTTTCCGGTGGTAATTCCTGGTCTTCGCGCCATGGTAGATCGCGCATTTCGGGTAGAACCTTGATGCGATCGAGAAAAGTCGGCTCATTTCTATGGTTGCCAAATGAGTAGTACTTGTCGTTTGCTTCGTCTGCAGAGGTATCTCCATGGCTTAACTCTCGTCCATTGACTCTTTCTTCGTTGCTACTTTCTGACGCTTGTCCGTTCTGTGTGTAGTTTTGTCCTGGACCTATTTCTGGCGTCTCACTCATTTCTATATCATCCGTCATATCCGTTCTGAACGAAGGCGCCCTATGTCTCCTGGGACGCATATTTCTTCCTTCTCTTTTTCGCTTTGGTTTTCTTTCTGGTGACGGCGAAGTTGAACTTGCTTCAGAACGATTGAGCGGTTCAGGAGTTGGCGCGTTGTCGGCAGTCTGTCGCGTCCAGAGTCCTGGTCCGTTGGCTGAATATCTTGTTTTGGCGGATGCGTTACCTCGGTCGCGAAGTTCCATTTTATATGATGTGGTTTATTAGCTGGTCGGCGGGACTTGACAGCAAGAGATTTTGTTATGTGCAGAGCTAAGTGAGTGATTGGTCTAGCTTGAGGTGGTTAGGCCTAAGCGATAACCTTAAATTTTACTCTTATCGGTGTGCCTAGCCTCCGGAACCGTACATCTAACTAGATTGACTCGGCAAAGGGTTACTAGACACAATTATGAATTAGATGTAAAGCATCATGAAATCGATCCCTCAATTCCTTTCCCAACAATACAGGATCCCATAAAGAGTGAATTGAGAAAATACTTTGATTTAATTTTATTTGTTAAAGCTACCTACCTAGGTACCTACTTGAAGGTGATTTTCTATGACTTCAGGGCACAGCTTGAACGCTCGCATGTTTTCGCTTATGAAGAGATTCTTCACCAAATTAGCTGATCTCCTACAATGGGCATTTAGAGTTCATTTTGAAGTCTTTTCATAGCGATGTAGATATCATATTATGATCACTGTATCATTTAAATCACCTGTAACATCGTGAGATTATCAGCAAGTATAATTTCTAGATTCACGCATTTTTATTGTTATTAGGTTTAATATAGGCTAGTTTACAAAACTTATGTACTCTGATGCCGTAATGCTTGTGAATTTCAGAATGTCATCGAAGCAACGTATCAATTATCATCATCCTCCACACCAAGTGTTTTCTTCAACGTATTAAGCTCTCTCTGGATATTGTCAATACCTCCTTGAAGACCACTGATAATTCCCATTAGCTGTAATTGCTTTCGCTTTGGCAAAGTTTCTATGAGTGGAGCCGCGGCAAAACTTAGTCCGTTCGGGGTAGTGACAAAAGTTGGTTGGTATTCTCGTTGTTGACGTTTGTTGCCCGCTTTCTGGGGTGGGGGTTGCGATATAGTTGATCCATTACTCATGATGACTTGTTGCTGACCTGCGAAGACGTTGGGGCTGTGATTAGGTTGAACTTGAAATTGCGGATGAGGTAGTTGAGGTTGAGGTTGGTGTTGGGGTAAAGGTTGGTGCTGGTGTTGGGGTAGGGGTAGGGGTTGATGTTGGGGTTGGGGTTGATGTTGGACTGGAGGTGGAGGTGGAAATGGAGATTGGTATTGCGCCTGCTGCTGTTGCTGGACTTGGGCCTGAATTTGCTGTTGTTGTACTTGAGCTTGATGTTGCTGTAGTCTAGTTTGAGGCGGCTGCTGCTGTTGAGCTTGAGGTTGAGGAGGTTGAGATTGTGGTGGTTTGGCTTGCTTCGGGTCTGGTTTATCTTGTTGTTGCTCTGGCTTGGACTGCTCATGTTGTGGTTTTGGAATTTGTGGTCTGGGTAGATTTGGAAATGTAGGTTGGGATCCTGCTTGAGTCTGGTTGACAGAAGCCCAAGTTGTAGATGCCGGTCTGCTTGGAGCTGACTGAGGAGTACTTGCACTTGGAGTATTGCTTGGTTTTCTGGTTGGTTCCTTGACGGTCGATTCCTTCTCAGCAGATTTGCCAACAGACTTGCGTAAACCACCATTTCGAGTGTTGGGTGTGGACGAGTTACGCGTAGCCATGTGTGGAGAATTGACAGGTGCCCATGAGGTTAAAGATGAACGAGGTGGGCGTCCTCCGCGCGTCTTTGTAGATCCCAAACCTGTGTCTACTACAGGAGGTTCTTGCCATCCCGTTTGAATTGGCTTTTCTGGTTCTTCGACACGGGCTTTCTTTGCTGGCGGACCAGAATGATTGCTTTCTTCAGACTTATTTTTTGTACTAGACTTATCTGGCGTCTGTTTGACAGTATTCTTTGCTGATGCTCTCCGTGCACTTGAAGATTCAGGTTCTGGAGTCACGCGAATTCCGTCTTCTGCAGTAAATTCATCGGGCTCGACTACATTGGTATGCAATTAGTAATTGATGTTAATTTCTCGCAAAGAAAAACTTACTCTCTTCATTAGTCTTGATGCTGCAACGGTTTGGTCTGCCACTTAATTGACAGCTAGCGCATGCTCCCTTGAAAAATCCTGGCAGCGCGATACATAAGGTGAACTTTCCCCGAGCATTGGCACATGAGAGGCAAGGATCCTCAACTACATTTCCTCGAGTAGCAAGCAAACAGCCAAATCTAATTTGTTTCCTACGGGAATCTCCTCCAGTCTCGATCTCAGAGCCCGCTTCGACTCCTTCCCTCCAAGGCAAAGAACGTTTTGCAGGCATCATTTGTAATCTTTCCTCCATTGTTGATGAGTTTGGATCTCTGAATGAAATTTGATTCAAATACTTCGGAGGTGTGCTGGGGCTATATCGTTTAGATGCTGAACTGGGCGTCGCGATCGAAGGTTCGTCAGCCAGCTCTGGCTCAGGCGACTCGAGGTTTTGAGGACTAACGGCCGCCATTTTGTTTCTTGGTGCGAAATCAATATCAGATCCTATTGATTCAGGTGAAGATGGTGCTGCCCACTCATCGTCACCATCTTTATCAACAACGATAGTATCGCTGTCTCGGGATCGTCGTGGGGGCATGTTGAAAAGTCGCGTTGATCGAGACGTAATCGGTCGCGATATTTAAAAAATCCCAAGGTGAAATTAGATCGTGCTAATCCTTGTACCGAATATAAATATATGCCGCTTTTATCTCTTATCGGGACTGCACGTCAGGCTGGAAATTTGTTGGAATGGTCCAAAGTGAGATTGGATATAATTGAAGAAATTTTCTTGTAGACAACAATAATGAATATAAAAAGGGTCGGGTAATGTGAATGATTCACAGCTGAGTACAGCACAGCATGGGCAGGTTTTATCTACTTGGTCGGTAGATATTTTAGTTCGGAATTAGCTCTTTTAGTACTTTCTCTATTAGGTAAAGGTCTAGAAGTCTATCCATCGCCAAAATTGATAACCCAGAAAACTAATTGCCTTGATCGGCGATTAATGGATCTGATGGTACGATTTTCTTCTGAAGGGTAGTGAATAGTCTCTTGTATTTCTATATTGTTGGGCGCGTGATACGCTCGCTATGCTTACAATGCGTCATTTCCCTTCTGGTAGCCCATAATCTAGACTGCCCTTTGCTAATATGTTACGTTCGGTTGTATTACGAATGTACAACAAGCTGTCTATTTTTTCTTGGCCTCCTCCTTGGTCAAGGCCAATTGGTCTTTTTCCTCCCTCATTTTCCTTTTATCTTCCAGATCATTTTCTACTTGCCATACTGCTCGATCGAGTTCCATTTGCAATTCTGGTATGTCTAATGCTTTGGCAATTTCCTTTCCATCAGAAGCATGAAGTAGCATCGTCTCAACATCCGATACATTCGAATTTGATGATAGTGTATCAGCCGCACTTTTCGAGTCGGGAGACGGAATCTTGTTCCTCAGATACAGCTCGTCTAATATCTTGGATGGCTTTGATACAATCAGATTTTCCTTCAAAAGGAAGTCGATGTGTTTAGACCCTGCTAGCGCTTTCCAATGACTATATGCCCGAAAGCATAGATAGAAGAAGGGTAGATTTGGGATACTGATTGATGTTAGCTTCCAAATATTATCGGCGAGGTTATAGCTGGCTGCACTTACATCGGAACAAGCGCGAAGGGAGCAACTAAAGGCATTCCAATGATTGAACCCCATAACCTCGTCTTGTGAAGTTGTCTTCTCTCTGTGCCAAGTACTTGCAGGATTTTCGAAATGTTTTCCTGCGGAAGAAAATTTGAGGGAAATGAGATCTCAACTTTCTCTCTGTCGCCCAATTCTTCTGCTCGCCTTCGTTTAGACAAGGGAGGAATGGATTTTAGACCCCATTCCTCATATGGTATTCTTTGCAGGGCCTTGTTCCCAAAATCGACCACCTTCTTCTGCCATCCTGATTCCTTCTTCTCCCAACTATTCCAAAGATTATTCGCCTTTGTAGTTGTCTTATCTAGTAAGGAAACCTCATTTGTAGTGGTAACATTAAGTCGCTGGCAGTAAATAAGGGTTCGCCGCGTGGAGATGGGAAGTAGGTAGAGGCGCATAGTTCGTTCTTCGTGGACCAGAGAATTAGATGAAAAATTTACACAATTGCGATTCTCGAGATGGGTATTATGTCGTACAAGATCGTTAGGCGTTATACGTAAAATGGTCGTTATTCGTCTGCTCGTGAAATGCCGTTTGTTACTTCAATTGCATTGGAGGGTGTTTGATAGTTATGATGAGAAGATGGTGCTGGTTAGGTGAGTAACGTTTTGCACTTCTTTCTTTCTTTCTCTTTTTGACTGATTAGAACTACCGGTAGATGACCATCAAGCTACAAAAAAACCCAAAAATCGAAAAGCTTTTTACCTGGATTCATGGAGGCTGAGCTAAGATAAGATCCATTTTCACTTGTAGGTAGAATGACGCATGAGAATAACCTTGAATACCTAGCAGGTACCTAGTGAATAAATCCCTAGTACGAACGAGTACATGGAGTCGAATATTTTCCAAGTGGGGGGAGAAGAAAAGATTGATCTAGATAGAAGTGTACTAGGTAGGTGAGTGAGGAGTGAGATGATAGGCTCGATAGGTATTTCGAGTGTATGGTGGGTGAAAATGGTGGGAGGAGAGGGAAGAAGTGGGTGAAGATTCACAAATACGACACGATGCAAGTAATATCTGCCTAGGCACCTAGTAGGTACTCCATATAGTGCCACGTGAGGATCTACCCACCTACCGGAATCCCATGAATACTGTGAATATCATGGATATCGTGAACACCATGAATACTATGAATACTTCGTATATATACATATACATATATATATGTATACACACGGTTTATTTATATATATATTCACAATACTACCTGCAAATTGAAGACACCTAGTAGGGAATCCTTGCAAGGCTTATTATAAACTCCCCCATGTTCTCAAATTCCAATTTATACCTTGAATTGTCTTATTATTCTCATCATTTTTATCCTTCTGATCACTCCTCACCCCCTTGCTCTCCCATCTTCGCCGCGTTTCGTTTATGGTAATAATCCATAAAATCCATATAATCCCAATCATCCCAATCATCCCATAGAGATGTTTAATGGGCCTGTGTGGTCCTCCGTAGATCATTTAATCTTTTATTCATAGCTACAGAATTGCAACTACATCTCTAATCTTAACTAACCGCGAACCAAACATCCAAAATTTCACTTCTAAATTCCTCTTGTCACTTCCTTCAATTCTTTCTTCTAATTCATTATTCATTCGTACACTCATTTACTCAATTCTTTTCCCCTCCTTCAATCAATTTCCTTTCTTATCGTACTCAATTCATAACCAAAAGCTAATTCGTGTTTCAATTCTTATTACGAAAGGCAACAATGCAGGAATAGGAGAGGGGTCGACCGCGATTGAAGCGTCGTTCAGGGTTGCTCCATCGCGTGTTAGGACTGGAAGAAAGAATTGCAAGAAGTGTCAAAAATTTCATCGTCTTAACTCTGCGACACACAAATCGGGGGATATCCTGGTATTATGGCAACATCAGATAGATTGCCACGGACCACACCAGGCCTGGGACTACCATTCGAAGCATATAATAATAATTTTCAACATGATTCCCTTACGGTCCCACGTCAGTTCTCGGATTCTGCGAGCGTCGGTTCATCGGAGAATGTTGCCATGAAAGGGAAAAAGAGAGCTGGTTCTCAGCATGCCGTTCGACCCAAAACCTACTCGTCCGCCTCTTATAGGACCTACAGTACCCAAAACACACAATCGACAACTAGCACGCATGCACAGAATCGAGCAGCTCAAAGGGAAGTTCGTTCCCTCCCTTGTAAGTTATTGGCCCTCAGTCGAACTCTCGACTTGAGCTTACCTGTCAAAAGCCTGGATAGATTCATATGAAGACAACGACCCACCATCGCAACCCAAAAGAGTTTCCACCCCTTCGAGAATACATCCAGCTCAGCATAATTCTACACCAACTCAATCTTCGCGAAGAATATCTCTCGATGGATATGTTGACTCCGATGATGATACGTACAATGCCATAAGCGACAAGAAAGTAGAGACGGGTTTCTTTGGAGGTTTGCGCGAACCGGTCAGAGGTAGGAAATGGGATCATGCTAGAGACGCGGAACCTGTCATTCTTAGGGCTGGGGTACAACCAAATGCAGCTGTATGGCGAACTTTTATCAAAGCATCATCGTATGGTGTGCCCGAAGGAGAGGATCGCAAATTAGTCGATCCGGCATTTTTAAATAATTTAACTCCCGGTTACGATAGACCATGGTGCGGGGATCTTGAGAAGGGTGAAGGTGACGATGATGATAACATTACATCTCTCATATACAACAAAAGGAAACGGGAAACCTTTCTAAAACGCGTGCAGGTAAGCTCCACACTCTGCTTTTGGAATGAATGATTGGCTAACGGTATCTAGCAAACCATTCTCATGAACCCCTATGTTCCCCTTATTTTTCGACTGATTGTGCTTATAACTTCAATAATCGCCTTGAGCATTGCAGGCTCGGTTCATCATCTTTCGAATAAATACTCCTATTCTCAAAGTCCATCTACAACTATGGCAATTGTAGTAGATGTGATTGCAATTCCGTATACTCTCTACATGACCTGGGATGAATATACGGGTAAACCTTTAGGCCTTCGAGCACCGAAAGCCAAAATTCGACTCGTTCTTTTAGATCTCTTTTTCATTATTCTTGAGGCTTCTAATTTGACATTAGCTTTTGATGCCATATCAGACGACAACGGGAGCTGTAAAGTCGGAAACACGGGATATAATGGTGTGGTATGTCATAGAGCTAAAACACTCTGTGCCATAATAACCATAGCATTACTCGCATGGGGGATGACTTTTGCAGTTAGCATATTCCGGTACGTTCCTTCGTCTGAGGTGTATTTCTTTTCAACGTTGCTAATGTTCTATCAGGCTTGTAGAAAGGGTGGGTGGTCGAGAAGAGGCCGAATGAGTACATACTATCTCTGTCTCTTCAGACAATATTTTTCTTTAGTAAATATGGGCCAAGTGAAGGCAAGGCGTTGGGTATATATCAGTTGGGTTGAAAAAATTAGAAAAGCAAAATTTGTACATTTGGAATTGTTTACATGTCAGCGGACACTGAGACTTGAAGCTACTCTCATTGTCTCAACACTAATGCGATAATAGGAGTAGATGAGAGCACCTTTTTCATTTGTTATATCATCATTTAGATATAGATCTAAAGCATGCGAAAAGAAACTTTATTTAAACGCCAATCAGGATGTTTTAAGCCACGAACGCCTATCATTCATTCATTTCGTCCGCATACGACTAAACTCGTCATACATATACTTGAGCTTTAACGAATGAAGTGTGTTGGACAAATACGAAAATGCTTCTACAGCTTTAAATGGCTTCATCTATTTGAACCTGGAGCTGCTTCTTCGCAAGCCGCTTCCCCGCACAAGTTTCATGTACCTATGTGCCAATGTTTGTAGGTCTCGATGAATGATGAGCAGTACAGAGAGAGTAATAAGTAACTTTACCCGACTCCAATGTAAATAGCATTCTATACAATTCCTTCTTTCTCATTCAAGCTATCAGAATTGCATTCACAGTAACATTGCTATCTTCGATACTAATCCGGGATAATCCCCCAAAAGCTTCAACAAACACAATCGAAGTTCTGGGAACGATCTAGATCACATTCTCATGCATTAGTTGACCTTACGTAATCTAACCCGCATACATACCCCGGCATTTTGCATGCAGCGTGATGGCGATCAAATCTCCAGGAAGCTATCATCCCACTACGGAGACTTAGTTGGTTTACTTTACATTCTCTTCGTTTTTTGTGCGTACTACTTATATTGATTCCAGTTGACTGCTTTTGATTTTGAAGATATTCGGATTTCAAAGCGTGAGAGAAGTACATCAACTCAATTCACCGTTAGCGTATTTATACCTAATCAAGGTTAAGCTTGGTGGACTGCCAAGGAACAAAGACATCGGCCGATATCACTTGGAGTTCTTGAGTAGATATCCGGGCAAAGAAGACAGGTGAGGAAAATTAAAGTCTGCCCTTTCAAGAAAATCGATTAGAAAATCCGCCGGTCAATAATCACAGGCGCATCTACTTGAGAGGTAAGACAGGAGCCAGAGACATTATGATCTCGCTCAATAAACCATGACAATGGCGGGTAACAATTCTGAAGCCAGCTTCATGAACAATGGCCACACTGTTGCCAACGGCGGTAATACCGGGAGTCGACTCACTCTGAATAATGAACTGTCGGGGCCGGGTCTGCTTAGAATTGGGAGGTTCAAATTCAGAGCAAAAATGGATGATCTACCACAGTTCGTTGAGTTCATCTTCTTTACTTAATTTTATACACTGACCCATATTCCAATAGAGATTGGTGGGTTGCATCAACTGCATTCCCTCTCATCGCTGCCACAATTGGGCCCTTGGCAAATGTTTTGTCAATTTCCGCTCTGGTAACAAAATGGAGGGCTGACCTACCTGATGATGGACAATTGCCATTTGGTGCTGATGAAAATGGCGTTGGCATACCTGATCCAGAATGGTGGGAGATCTTTGAAGAAACTCACGAATGTTACTAATTTGAGATTTAAGGGAAATCGTCCTAAATGCTATTTCTCTTGGATGTGGGTTTGCTGGCAATCTTTTCTTGCTCCTGAATTTTATGCGCAGGGTCAGGTATATCGTCGCATTACCTCTATCGATAATCTTCTGGTACTTGTCTACTGGCATCGTAAGTCTAAGGTCCTTGTGCCAATTTCAATTCTAACATGCATTTCATAGCTTATTGGTATCTTATTAGCTATGCACGAGTACGTCCCGCCAATTCGTCCTGGTCAAACTTGGTCTCAGGGATTCTGGTCCGCAGTTATGGCAGCTTCGTTATATCTCTTAGGGTCAATGGTTCTCATGGTCAATATGCTCGGCTATTTCCTCGGTCATTACCCACAACATTTTGAACTCGATGACGATCAAAGAACTTTGATCTTACAAACCATGATGTTCTTTATATGGTTAGCTGGTGGAGCTGGAGTTTATCAAACAGTCTGTGGCTTTCAATACGCTGATGCTCTCTATTTCTGTGATGTCACAATCTTGACGGTCGGTTTCGGAGATTTCGTGCCTAATAACAGTCTCGGTCGAGGGCTTCTTTTTCCATATGCTGTCATTGGCATCATCTTCCTTGGTCTTATGATCAATAGTTTGCGCAAATTCGCTTCTGGTATGTCACAGGACAAGATTGTCAAGCATCATGCAATGCGTCAACAACAGGAAACCTTTGGTCGTTCAGTCACGAATGAGAAAGAGATTCGCGACCGTCTCGGCTTACCTCCCAAACCTGACATACATCGCCGTGGTGCAGTGGGAGATTCTTCCGGAGCTTCCGGTTCAGGCTTAATGCGCCGTCCTTCGCTTGACCAGTATGGTCATTTTGATGTTCAGGGCCAGAACATCACTTTCCATCAAAGGAGAGCCTATTCCTCTGGTGGTCGAGGGGGAGCTGGGCTGACACATAATTCACTCATTCCTCTTAGTCGCGACGCTAAGCTTCATAAACATGCCGAAAACAAATCTCCTCAAGTAAAGCATGCTAAGCGTAGAGAGAAATTAATTCTACTCAGAGAAGAAAAGGATCGTTTTGATGCTATGCGCCAGATTCAAACAAATGTACGAAAATTCAAGCAATACTACGCACTATCAATGTCTATCTTCGCCTTCTCAATTCTATGGTGCGGAGGTGCCACTGTTTTCTGGAGAGCCGAAAAGCGTGAACAAGACTTAACATACTTTCAGGCTTTGTATTTTTGCTACGTTTCTCTTTTAACTATTGGTTATGGCGATTTCGCACCGAAATCCAATGCTGGGAAACCCTTCTTTGTCGTTTGGTCTTTGATTGCAATACCTACCATGACGATTCTCATTTCAGATATGAGTTCTACAGTTATAGCAGCCATTAATCGTGGTACATTCACATTAGCCGATTGGACGATTATGCCTAAAGCGGGTGTTTGGCATGATTTTCTCATGAATCACCCAAGAATACATGCATGGATATCGAAAAAGACAGATGAAAGAGAAGCTAAAAAGCGTATTCGTCATGGTTTCGAATTGCAAAATCCTGACGATAGACAAATACCTATAATTGACGACATCGGTCCAGATCCAGAATCCTCTCTGGGTCAGGTTGTTGAGGAAATTGAGGAACCTCCTGAACACACCGAACATGATCTAGCCCGAAAATTAGCAACAGCTATCAAACGCGTCGCGAACGATCTACGAGCTGAGAAACCAAAGAAATATAGTTATGAGGAATGGGTGGAGTTCACTCGCTTAATCAGATTCAGCACGCACAATGCGAAGGAAGTTGAGGAGGAAGAGGAAGATGAGGGATTGGTCGAATGGGATTGGATTGGTGAGGATAGTCCGATGTTAGCGGATGTTAGCGAGAGTGAATGGGTATTAGATCGGCTATGTGAGAGCTTGAATAGGTATACGAGACGACAGGGAAAAATTACGAGAACCCAACAGGCTGAGATGGACAGGATAGAGGAGAGTGAGAGGAAACATCTTCATAGGAAGGCGAAGCACAGTTTGCATTATCCTGCACATCCGGGACCGAGAACCCCAAGTCCGGAATTGAAAAGGGGGTCGGGGCAGAGTGGGGGCGGAGATAGTTCGAGTTGGAAAGGTGGCTCGGTTGATAGTAAGGTTGAAGATGTGAATGACGATGCAGATGAAGGAGTAAAACGTCATATTGTCTTTATTGATGATGCTGGTGATAAAGAAACAAGAAGTCACATATCACCGAGTAGTATCGGGGAGGGAAACGGGGGTGGCAGCGGGAGTCAATCTCTCGCGAATCCAAGCCCAGCTGTTCTTAGAAGTAGCGACGGAGACGGAGATGAAGATAACGATAAAGATATGACTGAAGTGCTAGGGGGACCCGGTAGAAGTCAAATCTTGAAATGACAGCATTAAGCGAATGAGTAACGAGTGCTGGGCGCAACGTAACGTAAAGTAGACATTTCTGGTGCGTAGCTATTGGTGTTCGGAGTGGGGTTTTCCTAGGCGCTATAAGTGTATCTTCAGTATTAATGGGCCGGTGTCAGTATATCTTGGCGTCAGAATTAGGATGAGCTTATTAGATAGCTTAGTGTATTGACACATTTTACACCTTACAATATTCAATCACACAGGAAAGTCATCGGTGGTACATCGTTGTATCTTTCAGTCCAGGGTAGTGTAGGCCGTGATGAATTTTGCGGCGATATATGGGAGATGAGGTTGATGATGAGATGTGCTGAAATGTTTCGTAAGTGAAGGATGGAGTTATTGGCTAGTTCTAGTTACCTAGTAGTTGTGTGGAAGTGGAATTTCTCAGTGTGGGTTGGATAGTTGGGGTCGATATCACGTATATGTATCAGATTCACATGTCATGTATGCATGGTATAACAAAATCTTCTTGATTGATAGGTACTACTGGGTACGCAATTGACATTTGAAAGTACGGAATAAATTCTATTTGAAATGAATCAAAGTATCTATATAATCAACTGCTCCTCTGGTATCCAGTACAATCCATATAACTACTCTTCGAATTGAGATGTGAAAATCAAGAAAGAGAAAGAGAAATAGAAATAGAAAGAAATGGATATCGATTACCCCTTTCCTTTTATCGTTCCCTACGCCTAGTTTACGCCTACTACTATGTTGTATCCCAATACCGCATGGAAAGATAGGATATTAGATCTTCTTGTCACTAAATGTGAGTGTAAAAAATATAAAACCAAAAAAAATCCGAAATCAAATTCAAAATCAAATTCAAATTTTAAATCAAAACTCCCAATCCCAAAAAGAAAGCCAGCATACCCAAAGAGGCGCTCATCTTTGCGACATCATTCGTACTAGTAGTAGTAGCCGCGCGCGTAAGACTCTGCGCGCTTTGT